TCAGAGGCCAGAGAGCAAGGTGCAATTGGGAAACTTGAAAATATATTACAATTTGGCCTTCATGTAGAATATGAAGCAAAGGCTAGAGAGAAAGGTCATGCTGGCAGGAGAAGGGAAGGGAAGCAGCACAGATGGGGCAGGGCCCTGTGTACACGTGAGGAAGTTTGGACTTTATCCTCACGGGTAAGCCTGGGAGTTCTGAGGGTTTTAGGCAGGGCCCCACTTACTGATTTTCCCTTTCTCTGTCACTGGTCACACTCACATTTTCTTTCTGCAAAGGCCAAGCTCATTTTTACCTCAGGCCTTTGTGCTTACCATTTCTTCTGTCTGGAATGTACAGCAAGGATTACTGTGGGTGCGGTGTACTAGATCTGAGTAGGGTAAACCTAGAAGTAGAAATGGAGTCTAAAGCAGTGGACTATGTGGGAGGGGACGTGGCTTGAAGTAGGGAAAGTGGCAGCATGGATAGAGAGGCATGTATGTAATGTTCTAGGAAGAGGAATTAAGTGTTCAGCCAGTGATTGACTTGGAGAGCAAGGATGATCTTTAGGCCATTGATATTCGAATAGTTACAACAATAGCAGGCTACAGTCTGATTCCCAGCAGTCCACCTCACTGTGTGTTTCCAGACCTCACCGCCTCTTTGGAACGTGAGCTACCTGGATTTGCTCACTGAGTTGTTATATATTCATAACAGTACATGTAAATTAATTCTGTAAATTAATACATAATAACATGCTTGCTTGAGAGCCTAATGGAATAAGTAAGACAAAAAAATCAATGTACATAACCATGATGGTCATGATCAAGTAATTATTATTAAGAACAATTAAATGGCTCAGGTTTCCATGTGAAAAATCCCGTTAGCAAATTTAGTTTATGTCATATGCTCCTGACTAGAGACGTTTGACTCACTGCAGTTGTTTAAACCCTAAAACCCAGACATTTCCAAGCCAACTCTCCTGCCCTCCTCCCCAACATTGGATTCCTACTGCCTACAGCTTTTCTGTTTACATTTTGCTACTATAGAGATTTGGGTTGTTCCCGAAAGATGCATTTTAACTTTTATGTGGTGAGCCACATTTGTTATATTTGAACCATGTGTGACACAAGGGGAAAAGGTAACCACTTGACTTAGAGGGGGATGGGTGAGTATTTGGGTTAGCAGAGGTACTTCCTGCCAATTTAAAATGAGCTGGTTAGTTGATGGAAGAAACCAAGAAGTGTGTGTGTGTATGTGTACGTACATACCAACACATACATGCATGCATTTTGTATGCTCAAAGACTAATGTGGGTATAAAGCATATTAAACTGGACTGTGCTGTTTTCACATATTAAACATAAAGGAAAAGTACTAAGAGTCTATATGGTTATCACTTTGGAATTGGATAATACATAACTCTCAATTGACTTACAGCCTAGAGCCTGCTTTAGAATGAGGCTTCATTTGTATCTTGTTATATTTTCAATTATATATAAACCAGGAAGAACAAACAAAGGAAGAGAAAGGGCTTCATCTGATACTGAAAAGATTCATAAATTGAAAACACAGATGGAAAACTAAGGTCTACCGAGATTGATTTGTCCATGACCCACAATGAATTTATTCATTCACTCACTGAACATATATTTAATATGTATTATATAAGATGCATTAGTTATCTATTGCTGTATAGCAAATTACCCCAACACTTAGTGGCTTAAAACAACACATACTTATTGTCTCACACATTCTGTGGGGTGGGAAATCTGGGTATGACTTAACCAAATCCTCTACTTTGCTATCTCTCACAAGGCTGCAATAAAGGTAGCTGCCAGGGCTGTAGTCTCATCTGAAGGCTCCCCTGGAGAGAGATTTCACTTCTAACCTCACATAGTTGTTGGTTGAATTCAGTTCTTTGTGGACTGTTGGACTGAAGTTCTCAGTTTCTTGCTGGCTATTGGCTGAAGGCCATCCTCACCTTACAACATGGCCTCTGATGGGACATATTGCTTCATAGGACACAAGCTAAGAAGGCAAAGGGAAGACACAATCTTTTGTAATTTAATCACAGAAATACTATCCTGTCAACATTGCCACATTCTAATTTTTTTTTTTTTTTTTTTTTTGAGACAGAGCCTCAAGCTGTCGCCCTGGGTAGATTGCCATGGCATCACAGCTCACAGCAACCTCCAACTCCTGGGCTCAAGCAAGTCTCCTGCCTCTGCCTCCCAAGTAGCTGGGACTACAGGCACCTGGCTATTTTTTGGTTGCAGCCGTTACTGTTGTTTGCTGGGCCCAGGTTGGATTTAAACCTGCCAGCTCAGACGTGTATGGCTGGCGCCTTAGCCACTTGAGCCACAGGTGCTGAGCCGCCACATTCTATTGATGACCAGTCCAGCCCACACTCAAGAGGAGGAGATTATAGAAGGGCATGAATACCAGGAATGTGGATCTTTTTTAGGCGGGTTGGGCTGCTGTAACAAAATATCTTAGACTAGATGGCTTGAACAATAGACATTTATTTCTCACAGTTCTAGAGTCTGGGAAGTTTAAGGTCAAGGTATCATCAGACTTAGTACCTGGTGAAGCCCCTCTTCCGGGTTTGCTGATAGACTCTGAATCTCACATGGCAGAGAGAGAGAAAGAGCTCTGGTCTCTTACTATAAAGGCATTAATCTTATCATGGGGCTCAACACACAGGACCTCATCTAAACTTAATTACCTCCCAAAGACCTCACTTCCAAATATCTTCATATTGGGGATTCAGGCTTAAACATATGAATTTTGAGGAGTGATAGAGGGAAAAACTCTTTTTCCTGTATATTCACACATTTTCTTCTGACACTCGATGTATGAGTTTTACACAAACCACCCAATTCAATTCTCTAATTCTTCAGATACCATCTGCATACCCTACAATTAAATTATGATATGTACTACCTAGAGTTAGGGCAGACCCTAATGGCTCAGTCCCACAAGACTGCTTCCCACTTCTGATCCCAGTTGCAAATAGTGGATCCCCATGTTACCCATGTGGGTACAAATTGAGGATTCCTGCAACCCTCTCCTCCGGTTTGATAATTCGCTATAATAGCTCACAAAAAAACTCAGAGAAACACATTTACCAGTTTATTATAAAGGATATGATAAAATATATAGATGAATATGCAGGTGGAGAGGTACATAGGGTGAGATCTAGAAGGGTCCCAAGCCTAGGAGCTTCAGTTCTGGTGGAGTGCACCACACTTGGTACATGGATGTGTTCCCCCACCCAGAGGCTCTCTGAATCCCATCTTTAGTCTATGGCTATATATCATCTTGAAAGTGCCAGATATTGCCTGAATTCCATCTTTTAGGAATTTCTAAAGTGGTTCATCACATAAGCATGATTAACTCAATTTCTGGCTCCTGCCTGTAGGATAAGATGCATGAGACTGAAAGTTCCAAGCTTCTGATCATGGCTCGGTCTTTCTTTTTTTGAGACAGAGCCTCAAGCTATTGCCCTGAGTAGAGTGCCATGGCGTCACAGCTCACAGCAATGTCAGACTCCTAGGCTTAAGTGATTCTCTTGCCTCAGTCTCCTGAGTAGCTGGGACTACAGGCACCCACCACAACGCCCAACTATTTTTTTTTTTTTTTGGTTGTGGTTGTCATTATTTGGCAGGCCCAGGTTGGATTCGAACCCGCGAGCTCTGGTGTATGTGGCTGGCACCTTAGCTATTTGAGCTACAGGCGCCACCCAACTTGGTCTTTCTCATGACCGGCACCCATCTGGAAGCTATCTTGGGGCCCACCAAGAATTGCCTTATTAGAACAAAGATACTCCAATCACCAAGAAAATTCCAAAAGAGTTAGTAGGAGTAGCTCTGTGCCAAGAACCAGGGCAAAAACCAAATGTATATTTCTTATATCACAGGGATTTGCAAACATTTAGTCAATAGCAGGATCCTTGAAGCCTATCATTGTAAGCTGTCTATCACAGTTGGTACATATATTTAGGTTTCTTTAATTTCAGGCATAGCTTTTTCTACTAGACCAAACCATCTGATGTGTGGAGTGCACCACACTTGTCAAACACTAATATACTCAGCGTGGTAGACTGAGTAGTGGCCCTCCAAAGATGACTACGTTATAATCCTCAGAATGTGTGAATATGTTACCTTAGATGGCACAAGGGATTTTGCAGATGTGATCAAATCAAGGATTTGAGATAGATTCTCCTGAATTATCTAAGTGGGACCAATGTAATCACAGGGTTAGAGAGGCAAGAGGATCTGAATCAGAGTAGATGATATGAGCATAGAAACAGAAAGAGGGAAGGAGAGGTGATGATGGAAACAGAGAGTGGAATGGTGTGGCTGCAAGCCAAGGAATATGGGCAGTTTCTCGGAGATTGAGAAGGCAAAGAACAGATTTTTCCCTTGAGCCTTTGGGAGGAACTCAACTCAGCTGATGCCTTGATTTTAGCCCCATTTGACCCTTTTAGTACTTTTGACCTTCAAGGTGGAATGATTATAAATTTTTACTATTTTAAGCCAGTAGGTTTGTGTAATTTGTTCCAGCAGCAATAGGAAACTAATACACTCACCTAAAGACCTGGAGGAAACCTACTTGTGGAGTTTTTTAAGAACAAGGTACAGGATAATGGCTTCCAAGGGCTTTTCTTTCCTCTAGTGACTCTGAAACATAACTTACATATTATAGCTTCTCTATTTTTAGGAAATTGTCCTTAGTTCTCTTCAACATTAAATTCTATCAATTTTGAAGTGTTAAAGAAAAGTCTTAACATTAAAGGTGAACCTGGATATCATATACTCTTCAAAATAAAACAAAAACATGGTATTTAGTAGAGGATACTGAGGTTTCCATTTTTAAAGCAGGTTGCTTATTATTTATTTGTGCCTCAGGAACAGAAACATTGGCTGTGATAAAAGTACCTGGCACAGATCACTTTTTCTTCTTGGTGTTTCACAGCCAGATGTTGTGAAATTCTTTTATTTTTCTTTTTGCTCTAGTGCCTGGAAACCTTGGCTGCTACAAGGATCATGGAAACCCACCTCCTCTGACTGGCACCAGTAAAACTTCCAACAAACTTACTATACAAACCTGCATCAGTTTTTGTCGGAGTCAGAGGTTCAAGGTAAGAGCTCTGTGTCTATGTAACAATAGAAAAAGATAAAGATGTAAATGCATTTTGCTGAAATAACTTAAAAATAAGTGCTAAATGAAATAAGCCAGGCACAAAAGGCCACATATTGTATGATTCCATTCATATGAGTGCCCAGAATAGGCAAATCTATAGGTTAGTGGTTGCCAGAAGGTAGGAGGTGGGAAGAATTGGGACTGACTGCTAATCAGTACAGGCTTTATTTTCAGGATGTTGAATATTTTGGATTAGATAGTGGTGGTGATTGCACAACACCGTAAATATACTAACAACCACTGAAATATAAACACTTTGAATTGGTGAGTTTTATGTTATATGAATTACATTTCAATTTTTAAAAGAGTTATAACTATTAACTCCAAGAAAAATAAACATAGAAAACTATACAACATTGGGTTAGCCAAAGATTTCTTTTTTTTTTTTTGAGA